AAGATATGTACAAAAGGTAAACCCAATTATCACCATTGTTTGGGATCTTCGCGAGGCTCAAACACATCATGCCTATTTACATTGTGTTATGTTTCTGATAACTCCATGCATAAGTTTCAGAATATATAGCCTAATGTCAATATTCAGGGACAAAGTGGGAAGTACATAGTGCTCACTGTACAATATCTTCAGACTATGAGTTTGTATACATGTATAATACGTACGACTCTGTCCTCTGACGTTATCTGAATATTAAATACTTCTCGTTTGGTAGTGTACATAAATTGCATCAAATAGCTCTACCATTCCTTGTCCTTAACCCAACGGGAATGGTCGGCTATCGTATATTTTGCCCTGCGCGATTTATCAGATCATAGGGAAGAGGGGATCCGCTAGAGAAGCCGTGCTAGCACCACCTGCTGTACGCAAGCAATAGATGCGACAACGTCAGGAGCAGCTTTGCTGTATTACAGCATTAATTCCAGCTTCCAAAAGAGGAATTCAAGAACTGAAAATGAACGTCGACATCGTGTCACAGGTATTAATATGCAGTACATTCATGAGGAAGGAGCAAATCAAAGGAAAATAATTAGGTATTTTCTTGACTGCTTACTCCTATGCAATCATGACATCACTTCATGTAAGAAACCGTTGAGAATGGCTAAACCTCAACATCATCCTCAATCTCTTTCAAAACATTTACCTTATGCTGTTTTACTTTTGCTAGCTTCCTTGGGGACTACTGACGAAAGAGTTTACAACTCAGGGGCATCGCGCTATTATAGCTCTGAAACCGGAATGTGTGAAAACAAATTTCACTCCATCATTTTTCCCTTCTGTAGCTTAACATGTCTTTTCCATCATCCTACATCACTCTTTTTGATTTTTAATGGGCAGGCAAGTTGTAATATGTGTTGATCCGAATTCTGTAGAAACTTTGATTTCCTGGCAGAGAAATACCTTAAATTCCACTAATAAGGAGAGGATACTTGCTCGAAGTTGCAGTCCAACTGAATTAAATGCTCTGTAAGTTGAA